ATATATATATATATAAATTTAATTTAAATTTAATCTTCCTTTAACTGTATATAAATCAGAAATCATTTAATCGGCAAAACTGCTTAAGTTTATTTAACAAGACTTAAGAATTTATAAATTATTGCAAATTTTGATCAAAACGCACTCTTAACCTGCGTATAGAAGCAAAGGAAAAACGTCCACATACACAAATTACGACGTTCATGAATAATTAGGAAAATATTAAGAGCAGTTTAACAAATTCCTAAAGAATGTGATGAGAGTAGTTTTGTGTGTATGCGTACATGAGATTAGGGACAAATAATGGAGAACAATACTATTTTACGCACAATTTTAAACTGCTATGGACCACTTGGTAGAATTTTATAGCATTGTATGCGCCACTGAATGCACCTTATACTTCCATGGACAACGGAATTTTATCTGTTTCATAGACGTACTTTTGTCATAATGATTGTTTTGCTTGAAGGGAGTACTTGTAAATGGGAATTTTCTCTTTTAATGTGTCGATGTCCTTGTCATTTCTTAGACTTTTGTAGTAGTTTTGTATAACTTCATTGTTAATTAGCTTCACAATTATCTAGTTTTATATAGCATTTAGCGAGACTTATATCTGGGCTGGGAATTATGTGTTTAGTTGTTGTTTCTTTGCGTTTTGTTTTCTTTTTATTCTCAATTGAACTCTTATTATATTTTTATGATTATTTCAAACTCATAGCATTAACTTAATTATAAACCGATATTATAACTCCATATCTCGTGCTTCATCCTCACTATAGTCCGACATGCTGGATTCACTGTCACTGCTTTCGCGTTCGACCTGAGCAGCCCGTAAAGCTTCTTCGGTGGCATAGCGTTGCACATATTCGGCCACCTTGCGGTCATATTCCTCGGGCTCATGCAGATACAAAGAGGCTGCGTCACGGTTTAGCGGATCAACAGGATTTGGATATGTTAGCAGCTGTGGCAAAAAAGACTCAAATATATTCGAAAGATCGTAGAGGGCCGTCCAAGCTTGATTAATGACGTCGAGACAAACAGTACCCGACGACTCGTCAATATTTGGATGGTAGATTTTATTAACAAAACCTATACTGGGTGATTTGAAAGGATAGTTGTCTGGCAGATAGACTCTAACTTTCCAAACGCCACCCTGATACGGCGTCCCACGAGGCCCAAAGAACTTGACATGAAATTCATTAAGGCCGCCTATGATGGTTACTTCATGCTTTGATTCTATTAGCTTTATAACGTCGTTATCCATTCGTCGTTTACCGGCACTTGGCGATGTCATTTTCAATGCTGTTTAATTATCCTTCAATGTATCTATATATATATATATATATATATATGGACACACGCACACACACACACATATGTATATATATACATATATATATATATATATATATATATTACTATATATTACTTATTATATTACTTATTTATTCTTCAATATTTTATGTCATCATTATATATATGTATATATATATATATATATATAAATATATACGTATATATTAATTGTGTATTCGTTTATTCATATATATATATATATAATTTATTAATGTATGTGTATGTCCGTGTGCGTACATAATTGAATCTTGATTTTCTTCCTCAATTAAACGCCTTTAAACGCCGCCAACTTCTTCGTACAACTTTACCGCCTGGAAAAAATGACGATGAAAGGAAAAATATATATATTGACCAGAAAAAAGTTATAAGAATATTAACAAATAAAAAAAAAATTATAAAACGACAAAAAAAACCGACTACTATGTTATCATATATATACGTTGCGTATAGACTTGGCATCCTGACAGGTGTTTATGCTGCAATCACAAAGTATTCATCAAGATCTTAGGCTTTCTGCAATTGCTGTAGTTCTGTCATCAATGCAATTCCTAATCATATTTAACTGCAATTTACTATCAAAGTGAATGATCTCTTTGTAATTTACTAAAGATATAAATAAGCCTCAAAAGTCATAGGCCACCCTCCAACAAATTGCATTAAACCAAAAAAAGAAAATCCTCGCCAATATAACCAATTATTTTTGCATAAAGTAAGTCTTCAACGTAATAAATTAAAATAATTACAGCAAGTTCATACTATAAGCATTTAAATTTGTCCTATTTTATTTTGTCTTTACATTCATAATTGTAGCGTTTGGGAAGCTAAATTTCGAAAGGGGATTCAATACGCATGTAGCAAAAGCAGTTAAAGGAAAAAGATTTTTTTAGAACATATTCTCACTATGATCTACTGAAATTGAACTTCATTTCACTCTTTTGCCATTACAATGGCCAATATATCGAACATCTCTTTCGGCTGCGATCATTGTTGTTCAAGCAGTTTGTTCTTAACCTGCCGGAAGGAGTCAACTGCTGCGGGCCGTATTTATAATCGGTATGATGTTTCACATGTAAATATGTATTAGGATATTGCATAAGCTCTTGCTGGTTTCTGAGGATGGCCGCAATTTGTTCTGTAAGATAGTGGCTTTTCCCTCTGAATATAATATTGTTATAAAACTCGCTTTTCTAAGATACAGTTCGTATCACTGGGTCGTGGACATTTTGGCCAAAAGAAATACACTTCAAAATTCTTTTATTTACAATTATATTCCTTAATAGTAGGTTCATTTATTTACAATTATATTCCTTAAATATAGGATTATTCACAATTTATTTTGGCCGTACTCTCAACTTCTATGTTCTTGCCCGACTAACTCTCCCTTCCACAAATATTCTATTTATATACATTTTTGCAAGCATGTTACTATACCTAAATTTATGGTTTTATTTCTTATCCCAGCTTGCTTTTTCTCTAATCGTTTTCATCGGCCTGCAGCTGCATAACGCGCCTGTGAATGTGCATTTGGCTTTTACTTCTTTAGTGAATTTATTATTAGGGAAAATTACTTAGCTGAAATTAACTGAATTTGGGATTTTCGTAACAATTTTTTTAAAATTTTTTCGAATTCTGTGCCAAAAACAAATTTTCCAGAAAACGCGACTTTTCTTGTTTAATGTGAACGATAAGGCCGTCGAATCGTTACGGGTGGTGAAAAATGGATGCATTACGCTTTCTAAAATTCAACTAACCTATAACACAGACTAGGGGAATCATTAACATGAACAATAAATTTGAATATCCATGGCAGACCCATTTACAGAGTCAGATGTGTGCGGTATAAGATGATTTTCGACACGAACACTTTATGCAGGACATATATATATTATAATATATAGGCATAAATTTGGCGAATGATTATTCAAGCACATCTTGTCTATTAATCAAAGGGATGATTAAAGCTGATGGTTGGTATTCAAAAATTTGACGTAACCTAAATACGACCTTGTTTAAGTGTACTTAAATCTATAGAATGTCAAATTTTTTAACATTTAGCTGAAAGACTTATAATGAAAATGAAAGCGAAATGTGCACAAATTTTCCATAAGACATGAATATATCATTGTCACTATTTCGTTTCTTAATTCTGCCGATGTGGCCGGCGCTGTTAACCAGCCATAGAGGTAACAGTAATTGCGATATATTGTACAATACGTATATTCACTTTCTGCCTAAATTGTACTTACGTTAATTGCGGATTGTATATTTCGTATACCTTCATAAATTTCTATACAAACAAGACAAACATCAAACACAACACAAAGTAACAAGTTTATTTTATCAAGGTATGTTATGTTTTAAGAAACGCTCTCAGTAAAATTGCCCTTCTCTTCAATTTTCAATATCTTTGAATATCTTTTTCGCCAAATTGTAGACTTATGGAGATTATAGAAATATACTCTTTTTAAGAACTGATGTTGAAACACACACATGAAAACCTTTTCTTGAAACTTAAATTTACA